TCCCGCTCCGCTCCATGTCCGGCAGTCTGATCCTGCTCAGGTCGGGCAGTCCGATCCTGCTCAGGTCGGGCAGTACGACCCTGCTCAGGTCCGGCCACCTGGCCAAATGATCCAGACGACAAGCAGCATGGACGGGTGCAGTACGAATCGAAACCGTGCTGAGCGACACCCAATACCATGAGATGACACCAAGACCCAATGCACTCGTGTGACCCCACACCTGTAACTGGTGACGTTCTGTGAATCGAACCAGCTCTAATCTGCGGAAGCTGGAATATCACATCGTGAAAAGTGTTTTGAGCTCGTGGAGCCAACTCTGCGGGCCGGACGGTGAGACATAAAACTGTTCGTAAACATTTGTGTTTTTGGAGATGTAAATGACGTGCCGCTCCTGACCGCTTTTGCGAACAAGCCACTTCCATTTGTCTCAGCGCGGTAGTCCATGTTTTTGTACTATGGTCACGACCCGCTTCCATGCTCCATACCACCGCACCAGCTACCGTCATTCTTTTAGAGCATGTCTGGCACTACTGAAGAATGGCTAATGTGACTGCTTACACTTTGGTCTGCTGAGCTGTGCTCGATGCCAGCGGAATCTACTTCCATTCCAGATTTTTCCAAGCTGGTCTCAGTCGCATTTGAATTTGGTTCTGGTGAATGCTTGATTAATCAAATGGAGGCTTGATCCACATGATTCAAGACACAATCAGAACTGATTTCATCCAGCCTTGAAAAATTGACACACACACAATCTTTTATGCAAAATCTCTAGCATACACATATGGTAAGGTTGCCAATGCACAAGGTGAGTATCAACCAGGTATGTGCATAGGTGCAGGAACTATTCTGTTTCAGGAATGAGACTTTGAGGGGAGGGGGTCCATGCTCCCTGAAACATTTGGGGAAATTTAGTACTAAGTTTATGACAACTGCATGAAAAGAAACAACTCAATGTGTCTCTAAGCTCCACACCACCACCACAAACTCAAATCCAACCTGGGACAATTTCCTTCACTCCACTACAATATACACATGCATATTTTTCTCTCTCACTCCCTTGTCCTATCACAGGGTATCACAGAGGAGCAAAGAAAAACAGGTTTATTGAGGTGAACACCCAGACTAAAATCAAAATATTTTGGCCATGCAAAATCAATGCCTCAAAGCTGATGAGAACCCACATTTTGCTGCTTGCACATTGCTCAGATATGATAGGAACAAAGTGGTTGCTACATTTCTCATGACACTAAAATAGCTGGAATGTTCCACTGATGTTTTGTTATAAAGGTACATCAACACTTACTTCCATTCCACCACAGTAATGCTCAATACACTGTCCCTCCACTTGCTGGTCCATGTTTCATGGACAGCATACACCAGTGGCATATGGGTATTGCATGAACTGCTATATGTGCCATAAGCTAAGCCATGAAGCAAAAAAGTTATATTTTTGCAATGTTCTGTCATATATGATTATGCAGCTGCCATCTATACACCTCAAGACATCGTAATCAGTTGAAAAAAATTATAGGCAGTACAAGGCCTGCTCAGACTGCAATTATTATGTTTATATCAGTGCAGACAGTGAAGCATGCACTAACATATTACAGATGCCCATAGCACATACAAATACTTGGAGATATATAAGTAACCTGAAACATTGTTAGCCACATGACAAAATTTAAGCATTGTGTCACCACAAACAGTCAAACAACAATTTCAGGGACTTACTTGTGATTTTAATGCTCGCCCAATTTGCATTTTGAGTTTGGGGTTGTTGCCGGCCCTCTTCTAACATTGAAGTTGTGCGAGGACGACCAGTCATGTTGGCAGCATAGTGGTCCAGATGTTACTAGCCTGTCCCTGGGATTGTTAGAGGTGATTGGGTTGAGCTTCAGGAGGGACAACAAAGCTTGCAGATCACATGTGTCTACCACGTCACACAATGCTTCACCTGCATTTCTACACTGCACAGTTCTGTTTTCCCTTCCTTCTCCAGAGACAAAAATCTCTGGCATTTGCTTACACCTGGCAGGCTCGCTTGTCACTGTGCTTCAGTATGCACTGCTTGACTCTCCTTCCAAGCTCTTTCCATTATAGGAAATCGAATCGTGTCAGTTTTGCACCGTGGTACATCGAAACTTTCCGCTATGGGGAACTATCCCTCTCAATATCATGTGCCGGTATTGGCTCCACAAATCAATATTGAGGATTATTATCATCAAACCCACACACATCCACCAGCACAAACACCATTAATCAACGGAATCCCGACATCCCGCGAGTTACCAACGCAATTTGCCCGTCGGTTTTGTAACCAAAAATCAAGGCTGAATCTAGGTTTTGATGTGCTAAACTAATGCAAAGCTGCTTACGTAAACTGAACTGATGGCTTTTCGCCCTCTTTAGCCACCTCTCGCCCTGATTTTTCATAAAGTGAAAGATGCCATCACGCCTTCCTTATTTTTAGCTCCTTTTTTGCATTGGCAACATTTCATGTGGTCAAAATAACAAAAATTAATAAACTATCCACAAGATACGGTGGTCGTTCGAAACCCACTGTCGTGCATTCTTGACCACTTTTGAATTCCTCTCCCCCTCTCTGGTTATGCACAAGTCACGTTGGATGCTTCTCCATCTCCTTTGTTACACTATGGTAAGCACAACGTCTCAAAAAGTACCATCCGTTCAGCACTTCATAGACCAGGCATGCGAGACCAATCATGGAATGACCCTTGTCATAATGGAAGCCAAGTACGGTTTTAAGGTTTACGAGGTACTCTCAATATTTAGCTATTATTTGCAACCACATCTGAGCGTAGCATTATGCCGTTCAAAACTTCAATATCCAATTGCACTGTTGTGTATTTCATTGCTTGTCGCCCAACATGCAACAGAGTATTGTTCAACAATGCAACAACTCGTATTATGTAATACACATGTTCACACGATAAGAACGGCCCGCACGCAGAAGTACGTAGCAAACAAACACAAAGCATATATATTTTCTCGACAGCTATGGTTCGTTTGAAAAAAAAAAACGGACACCGGTTAAATAATGCCAAGAAGTGGGCATATCACGAGAATCTGTTACAAATATACTCCACGTCACACAACAAACCAGAGTGCGGAGGTGCCCGTTAACAACCCTCCTGTTTAAACGAGCGAGTGGTTACAACAAAATGCGATGCAGCGGGTACGTTTACCTGACCAGTACATGTGTCGTCACCGTCTTTAACAACACAATTACAGCAAAGGTCATGGGAGATAACAGCTTCGAATTGTGATGTTCGGTTCATGAGTAGCCCAATCAATCGCTGACCGTGAAACTTTCGTTGCAAACCCTCTAAGCGAATCTGCACGGCTGGGGCAAAGCTCCCCATACCTTATCCCATATTTGCACGATTTCTGCAGGGATGACGTGGATCCAGTTCTATGTGAAGGCATTCCCGCACGTTCAAAGATCGGCGATTTATACCTCATCCCGACGGCGGCCGTTCTGATGACTATCCAGAGAAACAGTGTTGACGGCCACACGCCGACGCGAGTCCGTTGCGTGATGGCTGCCCCGACGCGTCAGACCCTCCCAGACTCCAGTCCAGTCAACAACGACGACGCACTGTCCGCCGGGAACGTCGTCATCCATTCCGCTTCCCACGACCCGGTCCGCACTTTCACTCCGCCGCCCGCGCCTCCCAGCGACCTACGGCGCCGACAACTGCCTCCCAGCTCCTCCACCCCACTTCAGCTCAGGACACTCTCACTCACCGCGCGTTCCGGCCCAACCGGGGTGAGCCGACTGTTCACCACAGCGAGCGTCCTCCCAAGCCCTCGATCCCAGTGACGTCAGATGGGCGTCCCAGTGAGGTCAGACAAGCGTCACGATACGGACAGACCCGTCCTATTCGCCGCGCGTCGACACGACGACGGCACCCGCGCCCCTCCCCGCTTCGAAGGACCGGTTAGTTAGACTGAAACACACGCACACGCACGCGCACACGCACACATACACACACGCACACACACACGCATGTCCATCTGAACCACGCTGTTCGAAACCGAGTGAACACGCACGCACACACACACACGCGCGCATACGTATGTCAGTCTGTGTCACGCTGTTCAAAGCCGAGTGAAGTTCGACGCCTCGGTGGTGGCAGGGTTCACGAATTTGGCATTGAGATTGGACCTTCGCGGCATCAACAGCGGCCGCGACATCCGCGTCCACCACCTCCAGTCACGACATCGCAACGCTGTACGCCTCGCAAACGGAACGTCCGGGCCCGCGCCTCTCCAGCGCCGCGCTCCTGCGGCCTCCGCACCCGCACGCGGGACCACACGGCCAGACCGCTTCGCCAAGCGTCCCGACCGCTCCGCCCCGCCGGCTGCTCGCATCGCGGCCAGCGAGCGAGGCCCGGGGCCGTGTCCCACGTGTCCACCGCGCGGCTGGCGGGCGGCGGCGCTATATCGAGTTCATGGAGGAGGCGCGCGAGGTGGAGGAGGCCGGAGGGGGCGGTGCGGTGCCGGGGGCGGCGTCGCCCGTCACCTGCTCCTCCAGCGAGTGCTGCAGCGCCACCGGCGTCAGCCACTCCTTGGGCAGGCAGCGCTCCAGGAAGGGCACCATGGCGCTGACCGAGGCCAGCCGGTTCACCCAGGAGGGGATCTCACGGCCCACCAGCAGCTGTCGGCCGGGAAAGCGGGACGTCACAGGGGGTTCAGGCGGAGAGACGTTGTGGTCCGGTGTTCAGACCGGTAGGCACGTGAGACGGCCATGGTGGACTGGCAGACCGACGTCCACACGGCCCTGGGATGACTGGCTGGGACGCCGACGAGCGCAAAGACGAGCGTCAGACGACGGGCCCGCCGACAAAAATGAAGAGATGTGGCGGCCACGGCCCACCAACGGAAGATGTTGAGGGCTGGTCGACCGACAACCAAATAAAAAACACACGCAGACTTGATGACAGATGCTTGGTTCCGAGGCAGAAATCAACCGGCTCCTGTATCCACGCATGCACCTGCGGCAGTCGTTGAAGACGACCCACCTCATTTAAAGCGAGCTGCGACGATTCAAATGGGGAATGGTCGGTACAACTTAACAATTCGAAGGGAAGTCACTGGAAACAGTTATATAAAAATATCAAGGATGGCAACAGTTATAGAGATGGCATATTGAAGCATTCCCGCGGCAGCGGCAAAGTACTTCTGAATACAGCTCCTCCTTACAGAATGACGTAGAAGGTCTCATCCAGTTAATGACACGTGCACAGACTCGGCAGTGTCAAAGTGACCAAGTTGCCACTTCCTCACGGGAAACCTACACAGTTTTACGCCTATCATGCCGAATTTATTGATATACGCTTCAGATCTATGGCAGGTCTGGAAGAACTAAAAAATGCAGCGCACTAACGGATAATACGACTTTCATATGCCCTATGTATGTATGCTGCACTGGTCTGCATCATACTTTATGAGGCTGGGCGCTGCATGACCTTAAGCAGTCGATGCGCCCTAAAACCCCAAATCATCATCATCACATACTTTATGAGGCCATTCTAGTTTAGTGTCAAAATCACGCTCACAAATATCATGCCGGTGCTGCGTCAAGCATGCGTTGGAGGTCTCGCGACATATCGCATACTTGAAAACGAAAATTTGATTCAACCTGGGGAAGTAGAACAGGGCTGGAGAAGTAAAGGCTGAACAACTCTGCCTATGAGCTATGTTCACAGTGGCGGATACGACACCACGACCCGGGGCAAGCAAACCAACATATTTATTCCGCAACCTGCAGGGCTTCTATCACTTGGTTGAGCACCAGAAGCTTCTATTTTGCTTCACAACATATATTGCTAACATGTTACGAAGTCGAGGCAAAACGTCGTCGATAATTATTCGGGAAGACAATCTGCTCGTCCGCAGCCGTCTGTTGCGCGGCGGGTGGACTGGACACAGACGAAGTCATCGCTCACCTGGGCCAGGTTAGAGGTGAAATGATTGCAGTTCTTGTTGATTAGATGATACCGCTCGCCCCTGAAGTCCTTCCCCATTTCCTCGATAATCCGGTCCAAGTCTTCCCGAGTGAAGTCCGTGTAGCCCAAGTGGATGGATTGTCTGGAACAGACGCCGAATGTGCGAGGGTGTAGCTGGAGGGATCATTGTCGTATGCTCATGGCATGCTCACGAATCCTAGTCGGAATGGCACGCACTCTCATTTCGTCCACTGCGTCATTTAAAAAAGCAGACAAAGCGTACCACGTATCGTCAAGAAGAGGTCAAAACATAGCAAACGACACGTTTGCTGATGTACAAAGGACGACAACTTGGTCACGTCGCGCGTGGACGTGGGAACAAGGCAGTGAAAGGAAGTGGAGGGCGAGGGGGACGGGCACGTGTCGCCCACCGTAGGCTTGACATTAACCCCATGGTGACATCTGTGACGCAAAAAAAACTTGAACGTGGCTTAACTACCGGCTTTTTGGAGCGTCACCACCAGTGACGCGAAGTATGTCGACCGTGCCAGGCTTTTGGCAGAGGAAACCACGGACCATGGCCAAGTCAAACGCACCATTTAGGCTCGCGGCCTCTGACTTCAAAAGCGCGGCGACATCAACGTTACGTTTCAGGTCGAACTTGTTCCGGGACTCCGGTCCACCGTGTGTCGACGGAAGCACGCTCCAGATCACATCACCGACGATAACCACCAGACGTCAGAGCAATAGCGTAACACACATCACCGGTGTGAGAGGCACGCCGTCCCACGCTCCCAGTCCCCTAGCTGGCACCACTTCACACCTATCCATCCGCTGGCAGCGCTCGATTCGTCCACTGCCAACTCCCGGTTCCGTTGACACACCGGCCACCCACCACCCATCACTCGCTCAGTCACACCCGGTCCAGCGCCGACACGGTCACCTACTTGAACTTGAATTGCTCGCCCAGGTCGTCGGCGTCCCTCGGCCGGATGGTGAAGATGCCGGAGAAAGGGAACGGATGACCGCCGTAGGCATACTCTGAAACAGGCCGCCCGCAGTGCGGTGAGGCAGGGCACTTGTGAACACGCATGTACACGGACAGGCCAATTAAGTTTAGGGGTGATGACACCACTATGACGCCTGTTATCCGCACAACACTGTCAAATAGTAGCGAAAAGACAGGCACGGGTAGACAGGAGGACTTAAAACGACTTGAAACGAAAAAGGCGACAGGACTTGGCCGTTCCCATAGAACCACGGACGGAACACTTGACTTGAACCGGCCGTGATCTGTTGCAGGTTAATTACAGACGAGGGTTAAGGACCAATTCATCTTAAACGCCCAACAAATCCACAGAACGCGATGCATGTGATTGTGCACAGCGGCCGAGATGGAAACATCAACAAATGACCTACCAAAGCCATAGATCTCCAGGCCCGAATGAAAGACACCGAGTCCAATGTTTGACGTATATTCGTTGATCCAGTACTGCAACAAAAACAGGCCCGTAAATGACGCATGTTTGCGGTAGCAAATCTGCACATTTCAGCAGGTCCAGGAAATGGGCCACCAATGAAGATACATCAAAAGCTGCAATATACCAATGAACAGACAGACAGACACACACACACACAATATATTATATATATATATATATATATATATATATATATATATATATATATATTGTTATGAGGAGGGGCACCTTAAAAAGGGCACCTTAAAGGCACCTTAAAAGTTATAAGTGGCAATTCACACTTTATCAACATACAAATGTAGAGTAATCCATACTCCAGGGTGCAAAAGAGATTGTGTGCAGGTACAGTGCACTCAACTTGCATTGTGCAATGCAACATACGACGAAGCATGACTAACACAGCACAACATACAAAAGCACCAGTGAGCAAAACATATGCAACAACCGCACAAACATTTATCCTGTGGACACTTACCATGTCATATACATTGAGTATCACCGGTTCTCGCGCCATGCCCCCTGTTGAGGAGAGGTCTTCTGAAAGATCCTGGTGATATCCCAAACAGCTGGGAAACGTCAGCCGACAGAAGTCTCCTATGCCACCAGACATCTACTGCTGTGACATGCTGCACCATCTGCAACAAATGATGACGATTCTGTTCCAAGAACCATATTTAAGGGAAATGAAACTGGCTGGTGCCATCCCATATATAAATTTTACACAAACAAGTGACTATAAGTGTGCGTACTACGCAAAAAATGTCGCCATAATCAAGACATCTTTTGGGGTTGGACAATGACAGGCATGAGAGGCATTAATTATTATATGTATATGAGGACCGCCCATCTGTTACGTTGCGAGCGAATGGGGAGTGGTGACTTTATGGCGCATAACCGAAGCATAACAAGGAGAGGAGAGGGATAGGAGATGGGGCTGGATGGCACAAGGTTATGCTTAGGTGTGGCAGCAAATCAGTTGTCTTCTGCCTCCTCTTGTCTTCTGTCTGTGTCTTGTGTGCGTGTCATTAGGGCTTTACGACGCACTCAGCTGCTGGCGTCGCCTGCCTCTCACGCTGGCAGGAAAGGTGGGCACCGCGGAAAATCGAACCTCGTACCTCTGGTTTCCCAGACGTGTAATGGTTAACGTAGACGCGTTAACCGCTACACTACCAGCACCCTTTTGTCTGCATCTTCAAATGGCTTCAATCCTTCCAGCCAGATATCATGGGCTCGCCCATACTTTTGCTCTTATCCCGCTCTGATGATAAGCAACTGCCCAGTCATTAGTTCACACATGTAGGTCAATTAGGGGCCAACCAACAACCAGTTTTGGATGTTACACTTCACACAGCACAACCATGTTCTTGCTCAGTGTAACCAGCGCATAACTAGAGTGAGGGAGGTCGTAAAATGATCAAAACCAAAATGTAAAGTGACCAATGACCAAAAATGTAAAATGACCAAAAAAGCACACATAAATCATGGAAAGGCTCCATGACCGCCCAGCATGACGCCATGACGACGGACGGCTCCCGGGCACTGAGGTTCAGGGATGTAATGCTTGCTTTAGGGTGCACCAACTACAATGGTGATATGACAATGTAGTGTTTGCTCTGTGATTTGCAAATAACATGGCATGAAATTTGGGTGTAAGTGGAGGGGGTGCTCATGAGGTCTGGCATTAACAGGTGACACAATTTGTCAATTTGGAAGAAGTTTCATCTTTGGTGACTGTGAGAAAACATGAGCATTTTAAATGGATATTAGTCAGGGAACTGAACTTAATGCCTGTGTAATTTTTGTGACGTTAGCTCCCTCGCTTTTGGCCGCAGCATGCTGCACTTGAAAATAATTTTTGAACAGGTTGCATTCCCAACTCCTCTCTAGCTAGCCCAAGCATCTTCAAAAAAAAAAAAATTGAATGTGACACATCATCACACACGCTCTTGTGGAGTGTCCGCGGCCACAGAGACTATGTTACTGCCGCAGGGTCATACCCAACTGAGGTTCAAACCCACACCATCAACAAATGACTGGCAAAGGAATTTCATGCATTGATGGTGGGGCTCAGGGCTTCTGAACACATTCTGCGTAGCATGGGTTCTGATCCACAAAATTCATTCATTAATAACATTCAGATCAAATATATAAAAATAATCAAATGAGGATTAAATTCATACAAACATTTGCCTAGCTATCCAGCAAAGGATAACACCAATATTACTACTCTTTTTACTCTTGCACTAATGTATCCCACAGGTACGCTGAACAACTTCTGTATAAAAGTTAACATTCAGTTAGCATTGAAACACCACAGAAAAATCCTATTTCTGCCACACAAAAATTGTTCAGATACCTTATTAGCTTACAAGATCCATGACATGACCATACATTTACATATACATACACATACATTGCATGTATGATGAAGTCAGCTCCTGGACACATCCAAAAACTCCAAATAGCCTACATGGTACTATAGAGCATCAGACATTTTGGCCATTTTGTGCATAGCTTGCAATAAGACATAGGGCATACAGCAATGTGAACAGCACAATCCACATGTTTGATGAGGAAAGCACAGCATTTATTCCTTTACAGAACAAAAGCACAAAAATGGCCAACCATAAATAATGTTACATGTGACAAGTAGAAAACCTTGGATGGAATGTAACTGAACTATATAACAGAATTTTCTTTAGACAATCAAACAATGTGCTTAGATACTGTTGTGCAGCAAGCTAAAATAAAATAAAAACATCCTATAGCCTCAAAGTGGATACCATTGGCTTTTCTTCCTCAGAAACAGTATTTTACATCTCAAGCTGAATTATGGACCAAAGCAGCAGTCTTTCCCTGGGCATTACACTCACCGCAGTGTAACCAGGACATTAAGATTGCATCTTTTATAACCTATGCATAAGCAAGATGGAAAACACAGTTGACAAATGTTAAAAATCATAACATTTGTGCCAGAGTGCTGGCTGTTGCACAAGTGTTTGAGATACTGCAGTGACTTGACCATGTTTGAATGAATTCAAGAAGACAAAACCAAAGTGCTATCAAAAATCTTTGGACAGATAGTGGTAACCAAACTATGAAGACATGCCACCTCACAGCTGGTGTCACAGGAGCATCCCAGCAAGAGATTCAGCACAGGCATTCCATCAATTTAGACACTCAGACTTTGACACACAGTTGCCACCAATGTCAGAGTGGGGGGGGGGGGGCTTGTGTTGGTAAGTATTTATGATGTCGCAAAGGTAATTTTTGCCCAACATACCCTACAAACTTGTTTTGCCTATAATAAAAATAGAATTCAATCAAGTTGTCCTGGTCTGAGTTTTGGCACCAGAAAGTGTGAAGTTCAACACACTGCTGTCATGCGGGAGTACAGAACAATGAATATTTTTTGCAGACCAGGCAACACCAACATAGTGGCTGGTGAAGGGGCCTAACAGCCACACTAATTGATGGCTGGGAAATGGCTAAATTTTGGTCTTTAATGGGTCGGAAAACGAGCACGTCAATATATACATTGTCTTTTCACCATGGGTGCTACAAAGCTTGACAGGAAAGTCCGTTCCAAACAACTAGCAATCTATGATTGTTTCAAAGCATATGATGACCTGAGGTCCAATAAATTCCATTTCATACATATTCAATACGCTACTTATCTAGACATTTCCCAAGAGAGCATATGAGATCCGTATGGCAACTATACACGCACCTGCTCATATATGACCACTTAGTCGTGTTTTGTATAACCAGAAGTACCTTAACTTCGTTTATTTATCAGAAAACATAATCAAAATACATCTACGGCGCATCCTCGGCAAACATCGTCAGCTGATTGTAGCAATGCGAGCGATGTTTTTATGCACTCAGACAGATGTGGGCAAGATATCCTTACCTGAGCAGGCACGCTTGGGTACTTTTTAGAGTTGCAGCAGTACGACCTTAAAGCGCATCCCGGCAGGCGCATTTCAGGCGGGGAGCAGCGAAACTGGTGCATCAGATCAGAAATACGGTATAGATATATGAACGCCGTGTCTACCTCATCATGCAAACTGCCTGCGTTGTGCCTTCAAGCTTATTCTATTTTCACGGTACAAATTTGTAGCGTTTTCGTCACTCGTCGGCTACGTGCCTCGTTGTCTGCATATGAGCAAGAGTCCGCATGCGGGGGAGGGGGGCAACTTTTCGTCGTTTCTCATGCAATTTATCACAACGCATTTCTAGCATTCAGTTCACAGGGGGTTTACACCCTCCCCACACTTTAGGGCACGCCCCTACGCCTCTGCTTGGCCCCACCGTCTACGGATACCGTCCCGTTTTCAGGCACGACTAATGAAAGAAAATGAAACTCAACATTGCTTTGCGAACTTCCGGGTTGGAAGGGCGTCGGTGGTCGTAGCGTCCGCCAGGTTTCACTGACTCGAACCTGCACCTCCCATTACCGCCACGTCTTCCGTCGATTCTCAGACAGACCAGCATAGTTAAGACTAGTTTATTTACATCATATGCTGAATGAGCTGCAAGCACCAGTACGTGTGCAGTGGGCCGCGCGCCGCCGGGAGGAGCCGGGAGTCACGGGCCGGGCTGCCAGCCACTACGCAGAGTTAACAGCGAACAACCGCGCGTCCCCTCCCCGGTCACACCGCCCATCGAGTCCAGTTGTACTTGCATTCGTTGCCGGGTCAAAGATCTACAAAAATAGCGCGCGGACGGTGCGGTTAGTGGCTGGCGAGGGTGTCCGCGCGCGCGCGGACGAGGAAGAAGTCTCCGCGGACGGCACTCAGTTGACGCCACACAGTAACAGGCACGCGACAGGGCCCGCGGGCCACACGACACGGCACCGCCAGCGCCACCAGACGGCGTCGGCGCGCGCGCGCCGCGCCGTCGGCGGAACGCGCCGCATGACGCACCACGTACACACAGACCAGCGCATCTACAGGCGTTATACACAGCGAGATATGACGATTAGAGCTGTTAGGTGTTGTAACACGGTTAACGCACGGCCGGCAGGGCCGCCGCCCGGGCGGGACGTAGCTGCTTCGACGGCCGGTCTGTTTAGCTGCGCTCCGGCCGCGGCCGCGGACGTGCAGGTGCCCGACCCGACCTGACCTGACCCGGCACTCCCGCAGGTCAGGCCACACGGTCCGGCGGCCCTCACGGCATCGACGGAACCTGGCCCGGTTCCGGCGTGACCCGACAGACGTGGACGGGACCCAACGGGACCTGGCGGACCTCAGCGAGGCGCCCGACGCCGGCACCGAGACTCAATCCGCGCTGACTAGCCTAACAGCTACGTATCGGCGTGTCATAGTTGCAATGGTTATCACGACATGATCAGAAGGCTGCCGGCTCGAAGCGCCGACGCCGCGCGCAGCGTCGGCACGTCTTCCCATTCACTCGCACTGCCGGCTTCGGACCCAGGTCGGACCCGCCACGGCGTTCCAGTCTCGCGCAACAACACTCATCCGTCAGACGCAAACGCCCCCAGCTCTGTCACCCACCGCTCTCGCACGCTCTGGCTAATAGCATAGATTAAAATTTAACAACGCGCCACGCGGCCGGCGCCGGCGTGCAATAACGACATGTACAGCGTGTGTGCGCGTCCGTGGCGGCGGCAGCGGCGGCGGCGGCGGCGGACGCGCCGCGGCAAATGCACTGTCCTGGTCGGCCCGGAGCAGGGCGGCCGCCGTCGCCCGCGCGCTGAGCCGCCGGCCCGGCCCCTCGGCGAGGGCGGCTGCCTCCCGACGCCCTGTCCCAGCTCGGCGCGGCCGGCGGCGGCGGCTCCGGCGCGGCGGCGGCGAGCGCCGGCGTCTACCGCCAGCCGCCAGTCAGCTTGTGGAAGAGCTCGTGGTCCAGCGTCTGGCTCGAGTCCTTGGAGCGCAGCTGGAGGAAGATGTAGCCGCCGATAAACTCGTGCACCACCTTGCAGTCGGAGGAGAGGCACTCGAAGACGACGCTCTCCTCGTCGAACTGCACCATCATGTGGCGCACCTCCCAGTTGACGTTCCAGGCCTGCAGATTGGGGACGACGGTCAGTCAGCCCCGACACGCGACGTCATGCGACAGAAGACAGTCGGCGCTGGCGACGGCCCGGACCAGGGTGGGCGCCGCTGGCGACGGCCCGGACCAGGGTGGGCGCCGCTGGCGACGGCCTGGACCAGGGTGGGCGCCGCTGGCGACGGTCCGGACCAGGGCGTGCGCCGCTGGGACCGGGGCGTACGCCGCTGGCGACGGTCCGGGCCAGGATGTGCGCCGCTGGCGACGGTCCGGACTACGGCGTGCACGGCTGGACAACGCGGCGCCATTGTCCCGCTGCAAGATGGCATGAAAGCCGGTCTTCCCAGCCGATGTTTGTGAGGCCGACGTGGCGAGAGCGCGTCTGGGGCACGGCACGTTCAGGAGGGTGAAGCGAACACATGACCACAGACGCTGGCAAGGAGACCCAACTGGCGACAGTGAGCACAGAGTCCGCTGCCTACTCGTCCAACGCTGGCAAGGAGACCCAACTGGCGACAGTGAGCACAGAGGCGGGAGTCCGCTGCCTACTCGTCCAACGCTGGCAAGGAGACCCAACTGGCGACAGTGAGCACAGAGTCCGCTGCCTACTCGTCCAACGCTGGCAAGGAGACCCAACTGGCGACAGTGAGCACAGAGGCGGGAGTCCGCTGCCTACTCGTCCAACGCTGGCAAGGAGACCCAACTGGCGACAGTGAGCACAGAGGCGGGAGTCCGCTGCCTGCTCGTCCAACGCATGTTCCACGGCGTCTAGGCTCCCCAGTCAGCCAACGGTGGAGAGCGGGGAGAGCGAGGGTGGCCACAGAAACAGTGACCCGCACCTCGGAACTCCAAGATATGGCTATTCCCCCCCATTGGCAGGAGTGAAGACCCCCTCCCATCCCCACCCCACCGCCCCTACAGTCACGTCGTAACGCCCCCCCCCCCCCCCCCTCTTCATACAGGCAACCCCTGCATGGAGGAGGATTGTTACCCCGACCTCCTCAAGTCGTAATCCAGCGGGCGAAGAGAAGCCTTCTCTCACCGTTAACCCTCGTCCCCTCCCCCTCCCCCTACCTCAATGATGTGACTCCCCGCTCCCACACGCAGGGTATAATTCTCCGCTCCGTACCTTCATGGTATTGTAGCGCCAGGTCTTGATGTGATCCCCACCCAGGTCCATGCGCATCAGACGGTTGAAGGCGATGCCCAGCAGCTCCTCCCGCTTGGCCTTCAGGAACTTCACCACGAAGTACGTGATGCCGAACTCGGGCAGCGCCTTCCAGGACTTGATGTAGTTCATCTTGGACTCGATCAGGTTGTAGTTGGAGACGTTGGCGTGCGCCTCCAGGATCCGCTGGTTCAGCTGGGGCGACCGACACACATCAGCTGACGTCGATCAAAACATAAGGAGTCTACCGCCGACAGACCAGCTGCGAACTTCAGCGGCGTTAGTGGAGAGGCCGCTTCAAAACGTGTCTGCGTAAAATATCGGCGCACGGACGATGGCCGCTGCAGGGCACGCGGAAGCTGCACACCGCAGGGCACGGCCCGTCCAGTGACTAGTCACAAACAAGCCAGGTGTGCACCAACTCTGAGTGGACGCATCCCACACAAGCCAAGGGAACTGCACGCAGGGTTACCAGGCGGGGCATCCCGGCAGCGGTGACACACTGGCCGCTAGACGGCGCTGCCCGTCACAGCTACCCCGGCCGGCGGAGTGCTCCACTAGCGACACACGTGCCCTTAGCCCCACTAGCGACACACGGTGATCCAGGGTACGAAGGAGGCTCGAGCGTCACAGCCGCAGCCGGCAGCGGTCCCGGCGCCGCAGCCGGCGGCGGTCCCGGCGCCGCAGCCGGCGGCGGTCCCGGCGCCGCAGCCGGCAGCGGTCCCGGCGCCGCAGCCGGCGGCGGTCCCGGCGCCGCAGCCGCACATCACGCACAATCTCAGGCCGGTCCCGACCGCCAGTGCCGTCCCCACTGGCAACGGCACGCCTCGGCTCCACAGCCCCGCTGCAGCACACCACACTGCCACACAAAGTCGAGGAGGCGGCGGAAATCCAGGGACGCATCCAGGGCAGCACAGTATATGTCTCGTTCTGAGCCGATTTCGGACCTTTATAAATTTAGCCGCGCTGAGTTTTTCTTATCGCAGTATACATGAGAACTTTGTTAACGCCTCATCGTGCTGTTCTGCCAGCCGTCTTGTCAGACTCCAAAAGAGGACTGTGCGCGCCCACGATACAGCCCTGGGTGCGCCCCTGTCAAACCGCGCAAGCCCCCACTACCCAGTTTACCGGCGCCTGTGGCCGCCAGCCCCGGCAGGAGCCCTGCGGACACGGGCAGCGTGAGCTGAAGACGAGACGAGACGACGACCGTAGACAAGGCGTGACGTGGCGGTGGCGGGAAGGGCGGGGACGGGGACGGGGACGGGGGACGGGGGGACAGGTGGACGGGGACTGTGGACGGGGACGGGGACGGGAGGCGAAATGGGGTCCGTCGCAACGACACGGGACGAGAGCACGCCAGGGGGTGAGTAAGAAACACGACAGGAGAGGTACTGGTGCAGACGGCGGACTTTCGGACGGAACATCCCTCACGGCGAGCTGACAGGCCAGACACATGCGCACACTCTGCCGCAGCAACATTGGCCATGGCACAGATGAAACCCCGCAGGGCCTGCCACAGTGGAGATACGTGTGAAACGGTGTGATCACTGGCAAACGAGGGTACACATGTCACGACCATCTCCCATGAAAGCGTCCGCACATCAACGAACACAACGAAATGCAGATACACAGTGACTCTTGCCAATGCGGGAGACGAAAGGACGTCGCAGGCGAGCAATGTCTGGCACAAACCAGCGCACACATGTGCGAACACGCAACAACCCAGGCTCCGTCAGTCACCACGGTCGCACACGAACCCCGTCACCACCAGACCAAACCACTGCCAAAGAAAGCCACCGTCCAACAAAGCCACTACCAAACAAAGCCACCGTCGAATAAAACCACAAACAACCGCCGAACAAAATCACGAACCACTGCCGAACAAAGCCACAACCTACCATCGAACAACCACCGCCGAACAAAACCACGAACCACCGCCAAACAAAATCACGAACCACTGCCGAACAAAGCCACAACCCACCATCGAAGAAACCACTGCTGAACAAAACCACGAACCACTGCCGAACAAAGCCAGCAGCCGCATCACACGGCCGGCCCGCACCTTGCTCTTGAGCTTCTTGATGAACCTGGGCGGCACGTAGTCCTCGGAGCTGATCTCGAGGTGCTGCGGGTTGATGGCGGGCGCCGGCGCCGGCCGCTGCAGGTACAGGAAGTCCAGGATGCTGCGCACCTCCGTGTCGTACGAGGCGTCGGCCATCGTCTTGCCCTTGGCGCCCAGCCGGCAGGCGGCCATCCAGCGGGCGTACTGCTGCTCCTGCGGGCACGGCAGCACAGGCGGCGGTCACCAGGAGGGCTACTGCTGCTCCTGCGGGCACGGCAGCACAGGCGGCGGTCACCAGGAGGGCTACTGCAGCTCATGGTGGGGGAAGCCGCGCTCCCCAGGGGGGCTTCTGTAGCTCGGAGGCGGATGAACGAAAGCTTCAGGGGAGTCTGTGAGAACGGATCACGCAGAGGGTCTTTCACTGAGCAGGACTTCCACGCAGACTGCTAAAAGGGGGACAAACATAGCAGGGCTCTAGATGGGAGCTTTTTGCAGGTGCCGAGCAGGATAAACGAACAATCAGGGCAATAGCTTCCACAATCGGGGGGACCGGCGGGAGCTGATGACAGACTCGCAGGGCCCGGGTTGACACTCGTGGCCTCCCGTTCGACTCAGTCTGTTCGAGACGGTACCGGGGTCCGACAAACGCCAATCCTGGGCACTGGCCGGGCTCGCGCAGGCCGTGGCGACACGACCCACATCGGGCCTCAGCCCGTAACAACGCGCGCCAGAACACGGCATACGTCAGACCAAACACACAATCAACGCCGTCCGATAATGCAGAACCAAGGTACGGTCCAAGCCACCGGCCAAGTCTCACACAACTACACGGCCTCCATCCGGGGCAGTGCAAACAAAGAGCTGGGTCGGACAGCGCCCGGCCGGTGCCCGCCGCTGCCCCGTCCACAGCGCG